GAATGTGAATTACTTATTTTTTTTAAAACTTCAAGGACAACTTTTAAAATTTTGAAAATAGACTGAACAAAATTTGTATTTTCCCTAACAACTCAAAAAATGGTATTTATCATAAGTTAACCAATTGATTTTTCCAAAATATCACACTTCACCTGTCAAAACAAAACAAGTTTTCATTTGAAGACTGTACAATCCAATGCATCTATGTTGGCATAACTACATTCTGAGGTGATTTTTACACTTAATCCAAGAGCAAACCATTCATCAACAGGATTCAAGTGCATCTCAGGCTTTCTGTTACACTTCAAAGCTGGATAACAAGTACTCATCTTCATGAAACTTCAAAACTGCAGCAACTGGCTAATTGCCCATTACTAAAATAAAACTACAGAAAAGAGCAAAGCTTGCCATCATTCTATCCTGCAGGAATGCACCATATTTAGGAAATTTTTTGTCGAGCCAATTCCAGAGTTTCTAGTCCTAAAGCATTAATTCCTACATCTTAAGGTAAAGCTAGCATTGTATCCAGCTACTCCGTAAATGTAAAAGGTCTAACTAACATTTGATAAAGAGCCACTTCCACAGCAGAAAAACACCTCAAACAGCTGGGCTATAAGGAGGATTAATTTCCTGACCTAACTTTGCCTCCAGTTCCACTCATAATCCACCCAACCACCTCACTACATTTTTTATTTTGATGGCACAACACACACTCAAGTTACACAGGGAAATCAAGGTTGAAAGGATAATGTTGCTAATGCTCATTTTTCAGTGTGAATGCTGCTGTACTAATGACAGCAGTAGAATAAATGTTAATGTAAGCAGCACTCAGTTATTTTTGCCACTATACCATGAAAATATTTTATGCTTAATGTCATTCTAAAATGCTCACACCACAATGGAAAAAGATTTATTTGGAAAAATGCACATGAAGATGCAGTTATAGGTAGAGGCAGGTAGGAGACAGCTGAGGTTTCAAAAAATCTGAGCCCAATGAAAACTGAGACTCATTTTGTTTATTTTAGGGTGTGGGGAGAGGGAGAACAAGAGGAAGCAAGTACTTTCACCAAAAGAAAACCTTTTACCCAACACTGCAGAATAGATTCCCTTTCTTTCTTTCATTTTCTGGATAAGAGGATATTATCACAAATCACTTTAAAGCAAAGTGATGCCATGAACCCAAATTTGAGATTACTGCTCAAGTTCCCCATTTCCAAGCAGCTTTAGAGCACTTCTGAGCACCTGACATCTTGGAAGCCAAACTCTCTGCCAGTTTCTGAAGCAGGTATTTTTCAGGAGACGAGAGAATAATTAATCCCACTGCTCTGTCTACCTATATTTATCCTTCCAAAGACAGACACATGTATTTCTGGTATCAAGGGGGTCAATCAAAAATTACCACCAAAAAGAGTACAAATAATAAGATTGGTGAGGGACTACTTTTACAAGTGTTTTGTTTGCTCAGAGGTTAGGATTTCTTGCGTTTCATCCTTTCTACCTGCCTCCTGTCCTGAACATCTAAATCCCCGTTTTAATTCCTTGAAGATTTATCCTTTTCTCCCTTCAAGAGAAAGATAGCAATTAGGAAAAAGAACAGTTGCAGGTGCTCTGAAGCAAGTCATTTTGCACTCCATTGACATTTTCCACCACCAGCTCTGTCCAAGTTCTCCTTCATAATACACTCAAATGTGGTAGAAATTCCTTTTGAGAAGTATTTGTTAGGTTGTGGGTTGGTTTTTTTTGTTTGTTTTTTTTTTTTTTTTTTAATGAAGATAAAGGGGGAAAAGGAAGACTATTAGAAAATTCTAGAAAAACTAAAGAAACAAAAGCTCCTCAAGAGCCAAAATTTACCTGAAGTTCACTTTAAGTTAGTGGTAGAGTGCTGCAGAAAAACTATTAACCAAGGGTTTAAAATCTGCATGCAAACATTCGACTTAACTGAAAACCTGAAGGAAAGTGCATATTTTCATATACCTCTCTCAGGAAGTATAAAATGGACTCCCATTCAAATAGATACTTATGTTAAAGTGCTACCGCTGAATTAACATCATGATGCCATGATTTCAAGACAGACAGACTGTATTTACAACTGTTATATTTCCATATTCAGAATGACAATGGAACATGGATTGCCCTAAGATACAAGAATAAAAATAGTAGTTATCTATCAAGTACTCCATCCAAGTTATCCATCATGTCTGTAATAAATTGTAGCTAGGTGAAAAGATACAGTTTTGTTACCCAAAGATTACTGTTCTACTTATCTTTTGTAAACTTTCACTTTAGTAACATTTACAGTCTTACAAGCACATAAATAACTGTAGGATTTGCAGAATACTAAAGCATCTTTTGATTCAATTTTTGGCCGATTTTTACAAATGAAGAAAACATTTTTATCAACATCTTCTATGCTGTACTTCAAATGTACTTCGTTTTTAACAGCTCTAAACCCAGAGCTTACTTCCCTTAAATTGTCCACTCCATGCAGCTCCTTCACCTCAAGCAATGAGAAGAAAACTGCATGAAGCTCCCATTGGGAGGGCAGAGAAAAACAGAAAGGGGATCACAATGACTACCCAGCACTCAGAGTAGCCCTGCAAAAGGCTCCAGAGGGGGAACCCTGGGCGTATCCTTTTGGTGGGCCTCAGTATTTAGTAGCACTGCAGTGGAGGGGTCTTCCATGAGAACATTGGATGTGCAGTGCAAGAGGTGGTGGCCAGAGACAATAAAGCCCTGCTGCTCTTCAGAGGGCTTCAAGTTGCATCCTCAGCCTCATACAGTCTCATTACAGGCATCAGGGAAACAACAGGGGCTCACAATGAGACTTCTAGATGCTTAACATCAAAATCACAGTTGTAAAGAGCTCCTCCATAGCTGCATAACTTAAGAAAAGCCTAAGATGAGTGGGTACTTCCCTTGTAGGATTGCTCAGGTCCTTCAATAAGTAGAATCCAATTTAGTGATCCAGCGGATACTGACAAAATGATACAGTCATTTTTTTTTCAAAAGATTGTCAAAATGTTCAGCTCTGGCCCAAGTTCAAAGTGTGTTTTTAGTGAGCTCTTTTACTTTCCTGTCACTTTAATTCTAGCTACTCTAGGAATCCTGGCAACTCTTACACCACATCCCTAAACAAAGAAATAACACCCCCAACTTTTTACAGGTAAATAGTATTGCAGGAAAATACACGGTATAGATTAAAAAATACACAGATGGCCAAAACTAGCATACTGAATTCATTCTTGCACACCTCATGCACAAAACTGTTTGTTCCAATCCTGTGGGCACCTACTACATGTTCATCTCCCAGTCTGGATTTATTTAGTTCAACAGGAGTAAATGAGACATACTGAGTCCCCTCATAACTTAGTTTCAATTTGCTCATTGTGGTCTCAAGGATCCCACCTGAACTCTCTTTTGTAAGTTCTAGTCCTAGAGTATCAAAACTGAAGTAAGTCATAGACTAAATCACTGACATTTACTTCCAATCATATGGAAATACTTATTTCATGGCCCTAGAAAGATATACTTTTCTGTTTCTTATGAGGCACAAGAACTAAATTCCCTGTGGGACTTCTTTCTGCAACTGACATATATACAGATGAACTTTGACAACAGTTAACAGCAAATGAGCTACAGGTCACTGTATCAATACAGGATAATTTTACACTGACAAAACTGTCGACCAGTTAAGTAGCATATGTTCCGAACTAGACTGATATAAAATTAATGCTCCGGGACTGTGCAGAAGCTTGATGATCCCTGTGTCCCATTTTGTCATTTAATTTTAGATAATAATTACATAATACATCATTCCTTAATGTAGCCAAATATGAAACAAAGAATATTGAGGACCTGTATTTATTTTGCAGATGTTAATACAGCACAGAAATCTTTCATCCTTGAGCAGTATCACATTTTTCCCATGCAGCCTGAAACTTAGCTGTTTGTGCTGGTGGTTTTGTTTAGTTCATAAAAGATGCAGTAATGGATGGGCCTGAATTCATTCTATCCAAGTTTTGAGCCAGCCACTAGACATGAGACAGTAAGGCACAGAAAGTCCCTGATTCAGATCATTAAGATGTAAATAGGGAGACAACCTCTCCTCCTGGTGCTTATACAAAATGTTAGGTGCCTGTACACCTACAACTTCCATGCAAAAGACGTATGTGCTGAATGCCTTCCTAAATGTGGTGACCCTACAGGCTTTCTCTGCAAAGTCTAAGTTATCTGTGAGAAGAGGTGGAAAAATCTCTCCTTTATTTAAAAATACTGAAGACATACATGTTTTAATCATGTTCCATCAAAAATGGAATTTAAAAATTATGTTAGTGCAGCCTTAATAAGAAAATAAAATGTATTTTCATGTGTTTGCTTGCTAATTGATGTATCATATTTAATCTCAGCACTTAAGAGTATTCTACCTATTCTTAAAATGGCAGTACTCAAGCATTAGTAGCTCATACACTAAGGAAAGGCTTAGCAAGTATATTTAGTATTTTATTTAAAGACATCTGTTAAGGAGAAAAAAACATTTCATTTTCTACTGAACAAATGAAAAGCTCCCATGGGAGAAGTGGTTGCAATTCATCAGGACACGTGCATGACCCTTCAATATTTCTGTCATATGCACACAGTGCTGTGCTATTTCTCTGCCTCTGATACTACAAGACAACTGTCAACACAATATTTTCAAGGAAACTTCTACTAGCAGAGCATCTAGATAGCAGCCATGTCAGAGGCTGGCATGTCCCTAAAAATGCACAGGCAGTGTTCTTAGTGTTTATCCGAATAATTAACATAGCCCTAGGCTAGCTATTCTGTAGCAGGTGTGAAATTGTATCTCTTTAGTTTCTGGCCTGGAATGACATTATCAGGTAAATTAATTTAAAAGAGAAAAACTAACCAAACAAACAAAATTGCCAAACAAAAACAAACCCAAACCAGAGCAAACCACTGAAAACCACCAACAGTCAAAACCAATTGCTTCTCCTGCTTACCAACTCCTCACGAAGTTGGGCTATGAGTTCATCTCTCTCCTTCAGCTGCAGCTTCAGCACTGAGCATTCATCTTTTATTCCATCCTACAAAAAACATCAAAAGAGATGTTATAATAGGCTTAGCACTTTTACTTTGCTCTTGACAAGAAAAGACTGTTTCACATAGAGTGAGATAATTACATTCAAGTAATGAAACTCAATTGTCCTTTGTCATATGCTGTATTTTCAGTAACATATTCTAAAGTTGCTGCATAAACAAATTAATGCATCCAAAGACATTACACAGAAGTGTGATTAGCTCCCTGCACAGAAGTCCATTTCATTGTTTTTGCATCTTTTAAGCCTTTTTATTGAAGATTTTATCAGATCATTCTTTTTCAGTTAAGGAATGATTATGAAGTGCTAAAATTTCACTCATACAAAACAGCATTAGAGAAATATCAATTTAGAAGCGCTATTGTGGAGCTCTTGATCTTGGAAAGGAAGAAAAAGAAAGTATAATGGACATCCACAGGAAAAGTAAAGCACCTTTTCCACGCATACATCTTTTTGTCTCATGTCAGCCAAAATAGCAGCAATTCTGGTACTGACTGGGTGGAGAAAAGAAAATAGGTACTGCTTAGCGACCTTTGACTAAAACTCAATTTAACTTGCATGAAAAATTAACCTAATAGCTAAGACTGCAGCCAAACCTAGGCTCATGAGGCAGTCTGCAAGCTGTCCCCAGGCAATTTCATGAGTTCATGTCAGTTTAAACACCTTTTTTTGGAGACAAAACATTGATCAGATTTTTGTGTTGTTCTGATAAATATCTAGGAGGAGAAACTCAGATTAAATGATTGAGCTGCTGAAGAATAAAACCCTAGCAAATGAATCAGACAACTAGCTGATTGTACAACCATAAAGGAAGAATTGTATCTTTACATTCTTCTAGCACAGAGTCATATTTACAAAGTTTGGGAATTTTACTGGTTTGGAGTATCGTTATTTAAAAACAAACAAACAAACCCCCAACAAACAGAAAACCCCAAAACAGCAATGACAAAAATACCTAAGCCATACAAAACAACAAAAACCCCCTGCTGAAAAACATTTACACAACACTTGTTTAAAAATACTAAAATTGGACCTCTAGCAACCACATAAGTACAAAAGTGCAGAAATTCAGGCCACAAAGATCTTAGGGGTTCAAAAGGGTATAATGGCCATGATAATCTTGAACTCTGTCGTTGCTAATGTGCTTGCAACTCCAAATGAACTCACAAATATGAGGCAGAACAGTAAAGAATGTGAAGTCCATTTTCCTCAGTTAAATGTCTGGCTATAATAAATACCTTTCAAAATAATAATATTGTTCATCATCCATTCTAACGGAACTGGAAATAAAAACAAGACACTCACACATAAACCCCAAATATTTACAACTGCAATGAAATGAGATACGCTATTTCTGGCAGGTGGGTAACGGACCTGTTTACACATTACTTCAGTACTATGTACAGATCTCCTGAAAGACTCAAATTTATGAAAAAGGCATAACTTGCACTACCTCTTTTACGGAAACACAGAAATTTTTCTTTGCTATATGATACAGCGACATTTCATGCTTACTATCTACTAAGAGATTGCTGTTTAGGAATGTTAACTGAAAATAAAATACTAGCACATCCCAGCATACAGCCCTCAGCACAGGATGTGTTATTAGTATAAATTTAACACTTTTGTTAGCATAATACCTGCTTATAAAAATCTGTCTTAAAGTATCAAGACCTTCACTATTATTTTTCTGAAAGTGAGGTATTTAAAAAAAAAAAAAAAAGGCTTTGAAAATTATGTGACATTAGCTATCGTACTCCATTTCTAGTTATTCAGAGTTCTTTTGGTCACCTTGGTTTCATATTGTTGTTATCTCCCAATTTTCCCCTTTTTACCTGAAAAAAAAGTTAGCAGAACATAGAGTGGAAGAAGGAAAACAGGAAGGTCCTATAGCCAAGACATTTACAAAAAACAACGTGGAGAAAGCACACACAGCATGCATGCTGTAATGCATACGGTAACTACAGCAGGAAAGATTTCCGAGATGAGCTCTGGCACCAGGTATTGTCTAAGAAGAAATGCAGGCCTCCCTTGGCCTAGTGAGAACCTGAAGAACAGATTTGCCTCCCAGAGCTTCCAAAGACTTAAAAAGCATGCTGCATCTCTCATGGCAAAAAGCAGTCATGCACCCACCTGGATCTTCCACCCCACAAAAGGAACTGACCCCTTTTGCCCAGCACAGCTCCCCAGGCACTCAACTTCAACATTCCATGCAACAATCTCTCATACAATACAGACTAACTGTCATTACAGTTTGGAGAAAAAATATCCAGGGTAATTATTTTCTCTTGTCTTGCTGCATATCAGGGAAACTGATTAACACCTGCCAGTGAGACATGACTCCTGTAAATCAAAATGCTGCATTATTAGCTCCTGTGCAGACCATGGCATCTTATGAAAAGCACGTACTGCAATTTCTGGGGGACCCATTGTGCTGGGATACTTGAGACTATGAGGTTTGGACCCTCACCCTTCATGCTTCTGCTGCCAAAGAGAAGACTTCATCTGCACCTAAGCATCTCAGAAAGGAATGACCTTAAGATAGGATCTTTCTTGTAACCTGCTGTACACGTACATCAGTGCCAATGTAGGAGTTACCCAGAATTATCTAGTAAAAGGGGAATGCTAGCAATGCCCCAAGTTTTACGTTATTGTTTAGTAAAAATAGCAGCAAATAATAAACACACTCTATATTCCATCTACTCTATGCTACACTGTGTTTGAAAGTAGCAGAGCACTCTTTTTTCCTTGTTGAACACAGCATAGAACTGGGATTTTATTTTAGTGCGTGATATCTGCACAGGTGTCATTTGTTCTATGAATGCAAGACAAAGGGAGAAGACAAATCGTGCTTGCTGCTTCTCCTGTTTCTATTATATTTCAAGGACATTTCTGCTATAATACCAACTGAGAACACAAATAGAAGAAAGAAATTAACATACTGGAATAAAAGAGAAAAGTAGTCAGCCACAGAACGGCCTGGGTAATTTCAATATCCCATACATCTGTCTGAATGTAGCAGCAATAGAAATAAAAAAATGTTATAGAACCAACTGTTACCAAAACAGTGAATACAGTTCTTACGGAAAGTAACTATTGAAAAGCTAGGGAAGGAGAAAAGACTCCAAAAATCACACTTTGCACGAGAGCCAAAATATTTCAGTGAAGGCTTGAGTGGAGGATACCAAAGAAGTCACACATCATCGAAGGGGGACGGAGAGGGGCATCAAATGCTTGCGGAATGCCATGTCATTTATTAGCCCAGACACAAATAGCAATGCATAGTAGAGAATGTGAATTCGGCAACAAATCACCTTTACTCCTTAGGAGGCCTGAAATATTCCATTATGTACTATGACACTGTAATACAGTGCAAGACAAAACAAAATAACCCAAACCTACCTGAAAACCAGAATTCCCTTCTAAGGAATTGTCACAACACCACATCAAAGAGGAAGGGACTTGAAAAGGATGACCTGCTTTTAGCACAGCTTGCAGTCAGTGCATTACAAGTCTACACTGTAATTACACATCTGGAAGAAACATTCCTACATTAGTAGGAATGTATTATATGTTACATATACTATTACATATCATAATGATATTCTTATTATTAATATTTGGTCATAAGAATTCTGCATCCCATTGCAGTATGCATGTCCATAGCAGGCTTGTCCAAGACTCTGGAAATACTAGATAAAAAGTCAATTAACAGCACATTCTTAAAGGAAACTGTTAGACACTGCATGATCTGTAAATAATAATAATAATTAAAAAAGTAAATAAAACAAAACTATTTTCTTTTATTAAATGGAGATAATAAAAAGTTATAATCTAAATTCTAAGCATACTTCATAAAGCTGCTGGTGCAAAATATCTGTCGTATTTTCCTTGCTTATATTCTCTGATACTATTAAAAAAACAAACCACCATCACCACACAGAATTTAGCTATATAATCCCTATGGTTCAACTGTTATTATTATACATGTTCATGGTCAGAGTATTTTTAAACTCATCATCTTTCTACTTCTTCCAGTTATCACTCTTTTACTTACTTTCAGTCGCAGGCTATAACAGTGATTGCTGTATCTTAGTACCAGTATTTTCCCATTTCAGTTTAATTCTGTCCACCTGGGAAAACGTGAAACATAATAGCAAATCTGTTTCTCATCAGATCAGGTCACAAGATGACAAATGGTGCTGTGTGTGTGAAGACAGCTACAGCAGGTTATGCATAAGTGGAAAAAAACATAGTAATTTTCCTTTTGAAAACTTACTTTATACCTCTTCATACTTCAGACAAATGGGCATATCATGCTTACTGAAATCAAAGTGCTATAAACAGAACTAACCAAGCATTATGGAAGATAAATTTACTGCAATTTTACTTTAATATTAAACAGAATATGCTGCCAAATAGTACCATAATATTAGAATATTATAAAACTAATCTGATAAATGTTCTGAATTTTAGATGCTAAGCAGATTCTGTATCAACTTACGGTAATGCAAAAATCAGCAATTACTTAGGATGTAGTGTCTTAAAATAATATCATCCTCTAACACACCAAACTAAGAAACTGAAAACTGAAGATCAGGTCCAGAAAGCTACAGAAATGCAAGAATAGTTGAAGCTTCCTCTAAGTTATGCAGCAGATTTAGGTAGCAAAATTAATAAGTTTCTGGATAACAGTTTATAATATTCAGAAAAAAACACAGTTTATTTTAACATGTACAGGATTTTTATGCCAGCATGTAGAGTCCAAATTATGTACAGGGTCTAGACTATGTACGGGATATCCTTTATGGTTTGCTCTATACCACCTGCATCTGAAGAACATCAAGTACTTTTGTGGATCTTACTTGAAGTTTGTATAGGAGCACCATTATTTCTCTCCAAACTGAGCCTCCCACTTGTGTTAACATGAATCACATTGACATAATTTTAATAAAAGGAAGAGCATCTACATATCTGACTTACTTACG